TGCTCATACATGCTATGGTACTCTACAGCCAGGACTGACTTGGAAATTGTCTTTAAAAGGTAAATGGAAAACATCTGTATCTTATGACATAGGCTTAGATAATGAAAGATTGCAAAGTTGTAACGCAGAAGAATTTAAGTTCTGGAAAACTCTCTTCATGTGCTGATGATATTGCTTGCTGAACTGCAGGATTAGTGTCTTGTACAGTTGCATAAATTGTTTCTGACAAGGCCTTTGGAAGACGAGGAAACCACAATGTATTTATCATTTCATGGAGGGTTGCAGTGTATCTCTAGTTTGAGTGGTTTTTTTAGTAAAAAGTAGAACAGAAACCCACTCAAATGTATAATTTTTTAGACATCATTCTTAGCTAATTAATCAAATGTTCATGAGTTTTACTTCTTCTGTCGCTGAGATCATCCCAGAATCATTTGATCTCAATCTTAGACTTTTCAGCACTGGGCTTGGTGGTGAAAATCATGCAGTAGTTTATAGGAGAAGAAAGGAACTGAGGATATTGTGGCACTGCCCATGTCAGAGTGAGCTGTTGTTGCAGACCCGGTACTGACCAAAAGGAAGACCCCATGCCCAGGAGTGGGAAGACTCCTCTGAAAACGAGGGTGTGCTCCTCAGGGCTGCAGAGAGTCAGTAGGGTTTGCTGGCGATCATCCTAGGTAGGCTGAGGTGTCTGGAAGCCCAGGTCAGAAGATCAATGATAGCTTGGGGCTTTTAATAGGAGGGAGAAGGATGCTTCCAGTTGAGGTCAGTGGAGCTGAAAGGCTTGTCGTAAGCAGATGGCCGGTTCTGTTCCCCTCATCACCAGGATAATCACAGAGAGGCGTCTGGAGGAGCACTGAATGGAGCCGGTGACAAATCGGGCTTAGTTCAGTGTTCCTGAGGGCTGAGTGGCATCAAGTGTGGCCCAGTTGGCAGAGATGGAGCAGTGGAGTGGGGGATAATGGCTGGTGGCTGGCTGGAGCTGCCTCCTGAGGTGAGGTAGTGGTGGTCCCAACATGTCCGGGTGACCATCCACAGATGGAGGAGGGAAGTCATCATCAGGGTCACCAGGCAGGGTGGGACAAATCTTTTTAATCTCAGGGACAGAAACTGACAGACTGACTGAGGGATATCCCAGGGTGGTCTTACCTTGTCCAAGGGCCCAGCAGATTCTGTTCCATTTCCTCCCCGGGTTCAGTGAGGTGTCCAACGTCAGGCAGGCTCCAGTTAGGGCCACTGAGGAGACTCTGAACAAAAGAGCCAGAGGGTACACCTTCCCATCTGCAGGCTGGAGAGGTGGTGACCCAAATGGTCAGCGTAGTGTCTTCCTGGTCAGGGAACCAAGAATGTTGCAGAACTGGTTACCAAGCTGAAAGGAAGGTGCTCTGTACCAAGGAGTAGGAAGATACATGTTTATTAGGCTAGTGGGCCCATGGGAACCAGTTCTGAACCACCAGTCCTGAGTCAGCTTTTTGGCTTAGTTTATATAGGTTTACAAGCAGGAAGTACAGAAGCTTCAGAGTGTGGTTCACTTTCATTGGTTGGATTAGTGATCATCTGTTGCTGGGTAGAGTCCTTGAAATATGTTAGAAAAACAGGATATATTTTTAGGTGGGAAATTACAAACAGTACAGCTGGACATAATCAGGCTGAGCTGGGCCAGGCTGTCTCTGCAGAGCTGCTGGATGAAGTCAGTCAAGGATGCCTGGGTTTAGCAGACCAGCTACATGGAAGGCAGGATGAGCACATCCTGCCTCAGTGTGATATCAGGCTGCTGGTTAGTTTTAAAATTTCTGTCATACTATCACTAAGTCTGAATCTGGTGGCAAAAAAAAAAAAAAAAAAAAAAAAAACCCTATATATTTTACTGGCCATAGTCCATTAACTTGGTAGGAGGAGGATTTATCCTGATGAATCTGAAGGAAAGTGAATCACTATTCTTCTCTTCCCTGGAATCCTTGGAGGGCAAGATCAGCAGAGAGGCAGGACATGAAGAAAGTGAACACAGAACCAGGAAGGAAAAGCCCATAATTTTCCTCCAGTAGTGGTCATTAACTTGGTACCTAGACCTCCCAGCAGGCGTATGATGAGACAGAGCTGAGAAGGAAGCCAGAAAAATCTGCTTTCCTTCTGGGGTCCAGGGAGTGTATTGGTCTGCCCAGTTCAGTGCAATGAGGTGAGTTTCACTGAGCTTGATGGGAAGATGCCTTTCAAGTCCGAAGGCTTAACCGAAGATCCCTTAGAAAAAGAAGCTGTTGACCATAAACCTAGAAACTCAGTTAATTCCCTGTGATTGTGGCAGATACAGTTTATTCCTCATCACTGGGTATCAAAGGGAGAAGTCATGTCAAGAGCAAAAAGGAACTAAGGGTTTAGCATTCCAACAGATATGCAAAGACATTCTCCAACAATATGACTAGTAATTTCCACAAACTAATGGGCCAGGAATACTGTGCTAAGTGCAAGGATGCATCAGAAATACAAGCATGCATATTGTCTAGGTGTGCGAGCCATTTAACAGTTCCCACAAAATTCCCAGAAGTTTTGCACACCAGGATCCTGATGCCAAATAATTTTTAACCATTTAGATTTGAGCACAACGATCAAAGAGGCACATGCTTTGCTTCATATATAATTCCACCCTGCATCTATCATCTTGCTAATTCATGAGAGTATGAACCATGGCAGCCAGAATATTGCGCTATTTTTAGTGCATACTGAGCTGTTTTTCAGAGAGCAGTAGTGGTGTCGTGCCCTCCTCAACCACAATGAGATGGAAAGCAGTGTTCATCTATTTTCTCTTTTTATTTTTAAAGTTGGAGAGGCAAACAGGTGTTTATCCTTGCCTTACTATTTTTAGGGGTTAGAGTTAGCCAACTCAGAGGAAGTACTTGTCAAGCTCATTCAGAATCCATCAGTTTTTTATACTTCATTATAGTGTCCTGCCTGTATTTTTTTTTAAAACAACAACAACAAAAGAATAAAAAATGATGCTACAGATTTCAAAACAAAATAATGAAAAATGAACACTAGTTAATATAGTGCATATTGTCATCTTCAAAGTAATGGTTCAGATTATTAGATTTAGGCATGAAAAAAATCAATTGATTTCCCATTCGTCAAATATAGAGACCAAAATTGTAAAACGCTTACTGACTGCATCAGCACTGTTCTTTAAGTCTTAGGATCCTTTAGGAAAAGGACAATTTTCTCGTCCTGTGCCAGGGAGGACTATGGGACCAATAAATGCCAGTAGAAAAGAATCCCTTCTCAGTCCTGGAGTTCAATTCCTGAAAAGCACCGCGGTCAGCAAAGATGAGCTCATACAGAAAGGACCTTACAAAAAATACCATAGCAATCACAAACCTTTCTAGAAAGTATCTTCCTCTTAAACACATCCCTTCTCCTGCAAGCTGTCTTTAGACCTGCCTTCTGGGCGTTGCCCCAGAAAATACACTTGTGATGTTGTGATCTGGGAAAGACAGAAGTCTCTCACGGTTTGGTAGGATGCAATCTGTACTCTTAGTGAAGAGCCAACCAGACCTTATTCAGTGGAAACTGAATGTGTTTTTAAATAACATCTCTCCTTACTTCACTCTCTCAAGCCTTGTGAAATGCATCTGTGACTTCCTGGCTTTGCACACATTGTGACTGAGTCCACAATACCATTTCCTGGATTAGCATTCTATCTATTTACTGAAGAGCGGACCACGGTCAGTCCCTGTCTCCAGCCCCTCTCTCAGAGGTCCACTCACTAACCAGGTTTACACAAAGACCGAGGGCTGTGGATGCAATCGCCTGTTTGAGGCACCCTCGTCTACTCAAGAGCTCCATATCTTTAAAATCACCCGGCTGCCTACCAACTGCATTATCTCCCATCTTCATCTGCTTATACAGAGAATAACTCAAGGTTGCCGTGCTCATTGCTTAACAAAAGCATTGCAAAATACGTGGCCGACTACTGTCTCCCTCCCTCCGCCGGCTTGTGTCATTATGAAAGTGTCAATCTATGGAAAATCCGAGTTTCACTGACTGAGTCAGCAGGGGGAGTTAAGGCAAACCTTTGCCACTTGCCACTGTTCATTCGGGCACTGCCAAGGGACGTGTTCTGTCTTGTGAGGAACTAGTGTGGGTGAGCACACACATTGCCATGCTATGTGGACTTTGTTTCACATCCAAATGAGTCCAAAGAGGGTGGTAACGTGACAGAGAGGATGTGTCAGTGTTGCTCTTCAAGAAGGCGACACAAGTACTCCTACAAAACTCTCCTTTGCCCGATTTATTTTAGTACATCTTTGACGAACTGCTATGTCATAACACAGCACAGATATAAAATAAGATGCAGTTATATAACTTTGACCAGGCTCTGAATCTTGAAGCTCAGTGTCCTAGGCTTACTGTGCGATGAGTCTAAAGTAAGCCCTGTCCGTGAGGCTAGAAATCCACTCTCTTCTGCACTGTGTTTCCAATTCTTCGCAGAGTGCCGCCTAAAGTGTGTTGACATTCTGCCACTATTTTGATAAATGAACGAGTTTACAAGTTCTACTATGTACCAAACCCACACACTTTCTAGTTGTTTTCCATGTGGGCTTCACGGCCCCAGACTTTGGCTTTATTCTCTGCTGGCTCTGGACACCTGCCTGGAACCCTCTGAAGGGGCTTACTAGTCAGCTACCTCTCAACAGCCTCCAGCCCTTGGGGATGAACTCTGCCTCCGTGGACCTCTTTCTGTTAAACACACTTTAGGATTGAGGTGCTCTACTTGAGTTTCAATTCTATTTACAGTCTGCATCTATGTCACTGATGTCTCCTGATGCCACTGAACTTGCGGGGTGCAGAGCGTGCCACCTGGGTTCTAGGGAATGTCAGGTGTTCACCTTACAGACCCGCCCCAAGTGAGGTCAGCTCCTTCCACTCCAGTCTGTCACTTCCTTAACTGCATGCTCTGGCTGCCCCAGGTCTCGGAGATACAAGCAGCAAATGATGAACCAGGACAATAGGTGGAAATTAGAGATAAATATATTTTTACTCTCTATAAGCAAAAAATTTTAATAGACATCAGATTACCAGAAAAGTTCAAATATAGATCACATGAGTGCCAGAAGAGCAATAAAATAAAGTTCTCTATTCATAAAAAGATTCATGTATACAATATCCAGGGTGAAGAATTCCTCTCCTTCAATCCACATTTGAAAGGACATGACAAATTTTTTCCCTTCAGCTTTTAAAGAGTTTAACTATATTATGAAAGCCTTACAACTGCAAGGTTATAAGTCAATGGTTTTATTTTTTACTATAAAAAATAGTCAATTATCATGCAACAAATAGAAGTTTAGATAAACAGCATACTACAAAAAGTGTACATGGTGGTAAAATTATACCCAGTCACGAACCTTAGCTCTCAGTCTAACAAGCAGTATAACTTGTCAATTTTCTTTACCTCCCTAAAGATAAAAATTTCATCTATAAATAAGGATAAGAAGGTACCTGGCTTATAGATACATGCTAGGCATATCCACATATATTCAGTATGCATAGTGGATGTAGCATTATATAGTAATCTTGTGAGATACAAGCTCACTTGGGTAGTTTTTGTGTATCTTAAAATTATTTCTTTACCACAGGCGTCCTGCAGCACAGGTAGCTGGTCACACCCATGTGTCCCACTGCACCGACACAACACATAGCCTATTGAAGGACGCATTCTATGGCCTTCTTTGTGACAGCAGTCTACAGGGAGGACCACGTAGGTCAGGGAGCAGGGTGTGGAACACTGAAAACACCTCCTTTTCACGGATGCTAAGTGGTACAGACAACAGCGACGTCAGTCACTCATGATACCAGATCCACTTTTGGAACTTCTAAGCGATGCTGCCAAGCTGTGTTGCCCCTTGATGGAATCCACCATCACTTTCTTATCAGTGGTGGCACCTGCAAAACTCTGGCCTCCATCTGCTGATGACACTATGAACCTTGCTGTTTCGTTTACCTTTCCTCCTCCCCAGCAGATATGTACTCCAGGGAGCTGAAAATTAGTTGGCTAGAGACAATCAGAGCAACCCCATTTGGTAACTCAGATCTAATCAGTGTAAAACACATTCAAACAAATTCCGGCAGTGTTGAGGAGAGAGTGGTTCAGAGCGCAATGGGTTTGCTGCATCTTTCTCAGCCCAGGGCGTGGACCTTTCTCCTGGGTTCGGAAAGTGACTCCAGATGGAGCTGCGTCTCCTGGCCTGATTGATGAGTGTGATGCTTTGAAAAGACAGGGTTGGGAGGTCATGAATAATTTTTTAAACTGTCTTCCCTTACTGCTTTATGTAGCACTTGTGAGAGATCCATAAATATCCCTGAAAATTTTAGCATAAATTCAAGTCTTGGAGAACAAAACTGATTTGAAATGCTAATGACTTGAGTCATTTCTCTAGTGAAATTTTTAATGGGGAAATAATTACATGATCAATTTTATTTTGGCCAAATCTTGACTTTCATACATCTGATGTGACTCCTCTCTAGAGACCTACTGGCAAAATTATCCTGGGGCTGCTGCCTTAGGTCAGTAAACAGGGGCTGTGTGAGTTTCTGTGTCCCTGTGTCTCTGTGAGGTTCATCTGTCACTCGAGGACGTAATGGGGACAGATGACTTGGGCCCATGCCCCCATGGGACTCTGCAGAGAAACTTCTCTCCATCCTGGAGCGCGGGTGGAGGCTGGATGCAAAGACCCTGGATTGGCAGTTTCCAAACTGTCAAGGGAGTGGACTTTGTTACATTTCTTTGCTTCTTTGGGCCTGAGTGTCCTCACTGGGAAAATAGCTGTAAAATATTTGCTCTCCATCCTTCCAGACTTCATGACATCAAATGAGCAACGACACGCAAAGACGTTTCACCAAAGCACACAGTGCTTCACGCTGTGAGTCTTCATAGTAATTCTAATTCGGAGCATGAGGCCGCCGAAATGTCTTCCAGGTATGTCTGCAGGATGAATCCTGTTTTTTGAAGCTCTGCCATCATCTCCTGGATGCATCTGCAGCAGTGATGAGTCACGAGATAGCTGCTGTGCTGACATTCATCAGAGAAATAGCCGCACTTGCAATGTCTACTGAAAATACTCACCCATGGGGCGGAGGCCCAGGGCAGATCCCACATGGCTTCAAGTGGGAGAGACTCCCAGGCCACACTGTGTCCTTTTCTTCTGACCTATCTCATCCCTTTCCTTTCCTCTGGGTTTTTCCAGCTTTTCTTACTCTTTGTGGTCTTGGCTGGCTTTCTACCCAAAGACCCTGGCTTGAATGCAGTGCCTTACTTAGTAATTTTTTTAAGTTTCCCTGCCCTTAAAACACTGTTCGCCACATTCTCAAAACAGACTAAGTGACAAGTTTAGTAACCTGGTAAATATTAAGCATTCAACAAAAATGTCTGTTACTGCTCTAAACTGAATAGGAAGGGACGGGAGATCTCTCGATACTGGTGTCATCATATCCTGTGACATTCTACTTGCTTAGAAACTCCAGAGCTTTTCTCCAGTGGAGAGAAATGGAAAGATCATAATTTTGTTAGCAGAGTTTTGTATGAATTAAAATCTGGGTTAAAAGTTGATTAGTTGTCATCCTTTAAAAATACAAAGATTTGCAACTCCAGCTTTCTGACTTCTCTTGAAATGTCAGGCCACGAAGCAACATTTGTTGCTCCATGGGAAGGCCAGCAGCAGCTGAGGGGCAGGGGACAACAGAAAGCACAAGCTGTGTTCAGTGCACCCTGATTCTCGCCAGTTCCACTGCTTTCTTTACATCACATGTCTGGCCCTGGTCGGATCGGAAACTGTGACCCTGTCCAACACACAGAGATCATTAAATCCTGTCTCATAACCATTTCAGCATGGGCAAAACCATGGACAGATGGCTCAGGGAGAACATATGTTGTTGATCTGTTTCTTTTATTTCGGTAACCACTTCGCCAGCATCCTGGGCAGCCTAATGACACGCCACACACCCTCACCGGAGATCAGTTCAGAAGGGATTATCCAGAGCTGCGTCCAAGTGTTTATCCTTAAAGGTCAAGTGAAAGCTGCTTTGAGGTTTGATCTCCTCTCAAGGAAAGACTTTTACCAATGTAGGAAACTTGAATTCTCCGCGTGTCCCAGGCCCCATGCCTGACATAGACCTGTGTTGTCAAAGCGGTAAAAGTGGTATCTGTGGTGTGTTTGATTTTTCTCGCCACCTAAGTTCACAGATGGGTCCCACAGCAGCGAAGTGGGCGTTAGAGGCGATGAGGAGGGACGTGGAGCCTTGACGTTGGCGGCAAGCTGAGGTTTCTAGAATTTTCTGGAGGCTTCTCAACATCCTTCCTTTTTTTCCAAGTCTGAGCAGGGAGTCGCAAAACTTAGATAAACTTTTGATAAGGAAAATGGAACCATGTAAACAGCAGGAGTCCATTTAGCCCGAGGAGCATAAATTGCATTTGGAAACAAACACTCTCTGTTTTTTTTTTTTCAATTCCCAGAATCCCCCCTTTCTCAAACTGGAGAGTGAATACCTGAGATCCTGGAATAAAGACGTGAGCTTCCAGAACTGGGTCCAGGGACCCTGCCTGGTTTACTTCAGTGAAGTTTGTAGATCAGGGTTGCAAAGGAGTTGCCAGGAGTAGGTCCACGTGGTCTGGAGTAGGTCACTAAGCTCGAAGTTCCTGATAGAGCCTGGGGTTCAAGCATTTCTGCCTCTACAAACAAGGGGAACTTTCAGCTGTGGCTACAGCCATGTGAGTGCGTGGTCCAGTCACCGAGTTGAAAGGTAGGAAATACCGTCATGTTCCTCGGGCCTCTTAGACGTCTGACTTTGAACAAGAGCAGGGACGCCTAACCAATACCAACCAACCTAATCACCATGAAGCACCTATTCAGGTATCTGCAATGGACGGGACCAAAGGGAGAGATGGTTTTTTAAAAAAAGCCCCTAAGAATATTTCATGGGGCTCACAGACAAACACCTCCTGCCCTCCTAGCCATTCAAATGCTCTTTTTCAGGGTGCCTGGTACTCTCTGAGCTCTTGGTCAGTGACAGATGATTAATAATGTCAGAACTGGTACCAAGAGCATGCTAGACGCCAACCCCCCACATGGCCTTTCTCATTTGAGTCAGGGTGAATTTAGTGTGATTAGGAAGACAGAGGTGGACACATAACTGCAGGGCTGGTCGCAGGGAGCTAATGCGCGTGCGGCAGGAGAGAAGTTACTTCTTCTCCTTGACAAACTCGCAGATGAAGTACATGGTACGGTGGCACTCTGTGTCATTCCAGCGGCCAGAGCTCAGCATCTCCACGCAGTCCTCATGCCCGTAGGGGTCACTGGGCTCCCCCTCCTGCCAATTGCTGTAGTTCTGCAGCGGGGTGCTGTCTGTGAACACATACTGGCCCTCCTTCTCCAGGTCATTCACCCCAATGAACACCCGGAAGAGGCCACTCTTGGCCACGTAGTCAGCGATGAGGGTGTTGATGGCTTCATCTTTGGGCATGGCGAGCATTCCACCCCGAATCCTGCAGTGGGTCAGGGACTCCCGGTAGCTCTTCTCCTCCTGCACGATGTAATAGAACTTTTCTTCAGTTTCCCGAATCCCCGCTATGACTACAGGGAGGAAAAGAAGAGCACTGTGATTATCCTGAAAAGAGGAGATAGAAGCACCATTGCCTGGTCAAAATCCATGCATTCAGCATTCAAGAATGATCTCCCAAGGCCCTGCAAAGAGGTAGCCATTGGTTTAACCTTCCTTCTGCCTTTCCAGTTGTCCCATGGAGAACCAAAGTCTTCTGCTGATCCTCCCTTCTCTTCCTGCTCAGCTCCCCACCCAGCCGTCCAGCTAGGTTGACAAAGTCCGGCCACTGGAATGGCCACCAGATTATCCCACGCCATTCTTCTCAACCTCATTTAAGACTCAGTCATATTTGCTGCCTTCTCCTTTCCACAGCCACCCCTGGAAAACCATCTTACTGCTTCTCCTCCTGCTCAACTCCTCCCTACCTTTTGGGTCTTGGTGGAAATGATTTCTCCTGTAAGAAGTCTTTCACGTCCCCCCAGACAGCCAGGGCTCCCTGTGGGTTCTTCCCTCCAGCTATGCTGCCCTCTCCACCTCTTCTGCTCTCAGCACGCTCTGCTCCAGTGGCTTATTGTGAGTCTTTTCTACCTAGCTTGAGGACAGTGGCTATATCTTTGATGCCCTTTAGGATGTGTGCCATCAAAGTGAGCCCACTTTGATGCTCCTTAATCCCAGTGGTTGGAACATTCTGGAAGTCAGCAGGTGTTGGTTGGATTCATATTGCAATGATGCAGAAGGGGGTCCAGTTGAAATCATGTATCTGGGACATGAACCCATACTCTGAAATTGTCCACACTTCATCTCAGCTATAAGAGGGAGACTGAGTTACTACCTGAGCTTCCGGACAGACCGTGGGACTTAGAATTATTCTGAGTCCATAAAATGGAAATTATGTCTTGGCATTTAGAGGCATTTACATATATACCTTCCAGTCCTAACTTTCATTCATAGATAAATCTGTGACCAGTATGTTAAGAACTATACTATACCTTACTGTGTACTTCCTCGATACTATACCTTAGGGGCTTAGTCCATTCATGATGGCTGATGCTATCTCAGACATAGAATCTTCATTATACGTACATCCAGGGCTGTTATTTATTTATTTAGGTATCAGGAATCGAACTCTCAACCTTGCACTTGCCAGGCAGGCACTTATGCGGCTGAACTATATCCCTGGCCCTCAGGATGACTAGCTAACGTCAAACATTTCCTGTGTGTCTAGCATTACAAGATGACTATAGGTGCAAGATGGCATCTGTGTGCCTCCAATAGTGTGCAAAATAAATACCTGGCATGTGATTAGAGTAAAAAAGCTTGAGACCTTGAGATCGTCATGCTCAGGGAAGTAAATCAGACACACGTGCTTAAATATCACACGGCTTCTCTTAGGTGAGAACCCAAACAGACATAAAGAGCGAAATACAAGATAGAGAGTGGGAAATAAATCTTTTTTGAAAGAGAGGGGACCAAGAGAAGGAGGGAGGGGAAAGGAAGGGATCATAAAAGGATGAAGCTGTGTTAGGGTGTGTAGCAGCCTGCAAAGAAGAAAGTAACTGTGTGCGCTGCAGATACGGGCTGATAAAAAGTAAACATCGAGGAAAAAGTATTTTAAAAACTGTGAAACCAGTTGTAATCATTAACTGCAGCAATTCCCTCAGTAGCACTGTTCTTAGGAACGAGTACCAAGCTCTTTCCACTTGAAGGGATTTACTGTTAACTATTCAAGGAGACGGAAAAGGGATAAAAATGATCAAAGCAGGGAGTCGCAAAACTTAGAGAAATACATGAGGCCGGTGCTCCTTTGCACGTGGATAGAGGTGTCAGCAAAGCTTGTACTCTAAGTCTCTGCTCTGTTGCGTATTAGATCTGTAACTCTGGGCAAGGTATCTCTAAGCTCCAGCTTAATCGCTGCACTTAAATTCCAATTACATGAAGATTCCGTGCCTTGTTGTTGGTAATGAGCATCATCTCCGCTACTCCAGAAAGGAGCAGTGTTACTATTACTGCTGTTTCTATTTGACACTTGTATCCCTTCATATTCTTAAGACACAGCTTGCCAAATTCTACCTTTTTCCTGCTCTCTGAGGAAGAACCCTTTTCCAACCGAGAGCAGTGCACACAAGCATGAATTTATGGAGTGGACTTGAATTGTCCTGGTGTTTGGGTGAATGATCAGCACGAGTAGCCCTCAAACTGATGACACCATCCAGGAGGTCTTTTCCCGTCACAGGATTTTGGCTAGGGATTGTCTAGGAACTACAGTGTTGAAAGAGACCGAATCAATAGACCCAAGACATCGGGCAAGAAGCAAAAGAGAAAATGTTCACCATTCTTGACGAATTTCATAGATGTCTTGAGCCGGGCAACGCTAATATCCAGTTGTCCAACAACTTTCCGGTATCTTCCGCAATCACAGACGGTACCTTGTAAACGACAGACACTGTGAGTTCAAGGCTGAGGTGCACGCACACCAACCAGCTGGGGAGCACCCGTGTGTTCCCAGCATCGCAATCCTAGCTCTTCCTAGCCTTGCGAAGGCTCTCTGGCAGTGACTACGCCTTTGGCCTTTCATTTAAGACAAGCTTTCCAGCGTAGAACATGTTTAGGAATTCGGGGAAATATCTTTTTGAGTGTTAGAAATGAGTTAGAAACAATGTTAAGCTAGAGTTTTTAAAAAGAGGAATGAATGTGACAGCCCGCTGCACACACATCGTGGCTTCAGCATTTGGCTGAACGCAGAACTTGTCTGCTCCCTCTTGGAATAACACTTTTACAGCCCTTTTCAAATGCACTTGCCGCAGCCTGTCTTCTGTTTCTGCATTATTCAGCAGCTCTTCTAAGAGAGGAGAAACTCCGGGATTCAACAGAATGCTAATTCTGATTATCCTCGGGAAGCAGACCTGCATGCTTCAAGGGCTACATTCATTTCCTGTAAAGAGATCCAACTTAAAGTTTTAAAAGCCAGCTGTCCCGATTGTGGATTAACTCTGAGCTTAATTTGCTATTCATTCTTCTTCTCACCTACAGTTTTCACCGATCTACTGATATCACTAAGAGCGGAGCAATGACAAGAAAGTGACACAAAACCCAGACGATTCTTTTTTTACATTTAATGGTTGTTTCCTGGAAACATTAGTTTTGGCCTCTAGTTTTCTGGGTAGCCGGAAAATAAATAATTTTATTAGCCAAAAGAAAAAACAATCTGTGGCTGAATTTTATCCATATTGGTGGGCAAATAGCCATGGGGCTTTGAATTCATCTTCCACACACCCCGAGGAGTACAGACAACTGAACCTTCTCAAGAAGAATCCAGCTTCTTCCCTTGCATAAAGCACTGCATGTATAACTCGCTTGGTACCCAGGACACCCACCTGGCCACTGAGGGGTCCTCTGTCACTAGCGTCTCAGTGTGTCAGGCCAGCTTGCTGCTAGAGCCTGCGGCGTGGGCTTTGGTTGGGACACTGATGGGACGCCAGGCGATCTGACACAAGCTTTGCTTTGGATTTTCCTTTTGGGCCCCGGGAATGATGGGCTACTTCCTGCTGCGCTGGGCTCTCTTCCCATAGCAAGCAGGACAGGGCTGGAATGTGTCTCCTTTCCTTCCCCAGGGACTGGAAAGCCACCAGCAAATGGAGAGGAAAGTCCCTTCTTCCCTTCCCTCTAGCTCAGGAAACTAAGGCTAAAAGCTTTGTTCTCTAAAAGCTATATTTATTTTGAGGTGACACAGGTGGAACAATGCCAGAAACCCAGGAGAAAAGCGAGCCACCTCACCTGCCTTGCCTTTCACTCCTGGAATCCCAAGCAGACCCTTCTCTCCTTTGTCACCTGAAGAAAAACAGTATCAGCAACCACAAAAATGCACAATGAAATGAATTATTTTAAGCAGGCAATATCCTATACGTTCAAAATCAGAGGGAACTTTTTCCCAAATTTCATTTCCAATATACTCAATGAATATCCCTTGGTTTTATACAAGTAATTTTCTTTGGAGTTGGCCATACAGGTATAAATAATCAAGTGGGTCATAATTTATTTAGGTTTAATATAGAATTCTAGCAGGACGTGGACAGAACATTTGAATCTGTGGTACCTGTCCCACCATGTGTTCTTTATAATGCGATCTTTTGAGCAAGGCTAATATAATTCTCAGCATGTTTTTAATTTTAAAAATACTGTTGCTTAGTAAATCTGGATCAATTCGTTGGCACATTGCAGGGCCTGTATATTTATTATGCCCCAAATTATTCTATGTGGCTTTGCCCTTGGATTTTCAAAATATATATATATATATATATATATATATATATATATATTGTGCTTTTTCAGTTCAATTCAACAAATATTTACCACTTATGCAAGACAAGAGACAGTCCTGGGAGAGAATGTGCAGAGACATGTGATGAAGCTTTGGCTTGCAGGAGTTTGCAATTTTGGGGAAAGATGTGGTGTATGCAAATCTCTATATTATAAACTCATCCCTAATATACTGTACCGAAATGTCACCTTTGGTAATTTTCTTTCTGCCCTTCTTTGTATTTGACCATTTTTTACTCAGTTAGAAGCATTGAAAAATAATTTTCACAGAATCAGGAATTTTAAAACAGACAGAAAGCGAGCAAACAAACCAACAAGAAAATCCTTGATTTTTGGTTTTGTTTTTAACTTCAAAATGAGCTCTTGAAGCCTACATCAGACACAATAATTGAAAGGAAAAACTTTTGATTTACAAGAGAAAATGTGTGGCTGTGGTTCTCCAGGATAAAAGAGCAGGCTCTGAGAGAAGTGAAATCGCCTCTACTGCTTCAGTAGTGACCTGGATCAAGGAATAGGAATTTAGGACAGAGAAACAAACACGGGCTGATGGTCACCCGCCGGATGGAGTACGGGACACCCTCATAGGATCTGAGGGGCAGCCAGAGATTTGGGTGCATTACCCAAGAGAACAAGCGAGAGGTGGGTGGTGTCAGATTTGAGACCGTGCAAGTCCATCTTGTACCAGCAGCAGAGAAAAGGGAAACTGCTCTGCCAGCTGCAGGGTGTCCGTCTGCCTGCACTGGGGCGCACGTGTGCTCTCGCCCTCCTCACTGAAGAGTCCCTTTGTTACACCCTGGAGCTTCCCTTACACCTGGAGGAAGGCCACTGCTGGGGACTCGGTGACTTCCGAAGCCTTGCTAAGCTGATCCCTTTGGGCACCTTTCTCTGGAGTGGTACTCTACACGCCACCTGCTCCCCCAGGAAGGAAGAGGTTGTTGGGGTGCTGTATGCAGTTTCAGCGATGAAGGGGAGTTCTCAGAACTTGTGCTGAGATGAAATGAGAGTGAGAAACGCTGTGAGGGGTGATGGAAGTCAGCACACTCCTAGAGAGAAGAGAGGAGACGGGCTTCCTCAAGGAAGAACGAAGGAAGGCTGAGCACTGTCAGCAGGAAGACAGGAGCGAGGCCTTGGACAGCACACTGCAGGGTTAGGGCTGGGAAGAAAGCAAATAAAATAAAAATAAAATAAAATAAGGCTGTGCACTTTGCGGAGGGAGATCGAGCTGCTCACATTTTAGTTGTTTCCTAAAAAAAATCATTATTTCCTTATATGTAAATTGGAAAGGGTAAGAACAGATTTTTAGAATGCATTAATGGGAGAACAGGAACAGGCATTTGCTAAATGTCAATCAGTTGCTAAGCACCGTTCTGGACACTTTATACATTTTATCATATTAAATCCCATGAGTGAGGCCTCTGATGAATTTTGCCAGTAAAGAAGCTGAGATCCAAAGAGGTGAGAACAACCAGCACTGTAATGGCAGCGTGTGTCTCGTGGCTGAGCTCTAGAACACCCCTCTAGAGTCTCATGAGTTCCCAGACGGGGGCTGGGTCCTGGGGGTACTGCTCCTCCCCAGGAGAGCTCGCAGTTAAACACGCCTGGGAGAGAGGGTCTGCCGGAAGGGGCATCTCCCTCCTTGACGCCTGCTTCTCCGCCCGGCTTCCTGGCTACCTTCAGGTCAGCGGATTTCCTGCTCTATGCCCTTCACCATCACGTTTCTGCTGACCATAGCTGAATCTCCTGAACTGGGAGCCACGTGGAAATTCTCTTTTAGGGGGCTGGAGGTTTAGCTCAGTGGCATAAGCACCTGCCTTGCAAGCAGGCAGTCGTGAGTTCAATCCCCGGTACTGATACAAAGGAAAAAGACAAAAAAAAAAAAAAAAAGTTCTCTTTTAAATTGTGGGTGTCAGGTATTGTGAGCCAGCAGTGGGACTGCGGGCCAGTACAGCTGCCACTCAAACCCAGCCATTTGTCCTTTTCACTTCATGGTGTTTCCCAAATGGCTTAATGAAAGAAAGCCAAGTGGGTGAAAATGTTACCAAAATAAAATAAGTCAGGTACGAAAGTTAACATTGCAGGGTTTCGCTCATCCGTGGAATCTAAGGCAGTCAGCCTCATGGAGGAAGCTACTAGCAGCTGAAAAGGAGGAGGCACGGGGAATGGGGGGGGATGTTGGTGGGTACAGAGGTACAGTTTTACAGGGGGACTGACTTCTGGTGTTCTATTCCATAGTAGGGTAACTATTGTCTGCCTAAAAATAGCCGAAAGAAGACTGAACATCTCAACACAGAGAAACAATAAAGTTCAAGGTTACACATATATTGATTACGCTCATTCAGTCCTTCCCCAGTGTACACATGTGTGGACATGTCGTATTGTTCCCCATCAGTCTGTGCAATTGTTATGTGCCTATTAAAAATAAAATTAGAATAACTGTGAAAGGAACAGTAGTTTTTTGTTGTGATTCAGACCTCCAATGTCATTCAAAATGCTAACGTGCTCAGAGGCTGGGCTTTGGGAAGGTGACCAGATATGGGGGTGCTGTGCTCACAGAGCAATTAGGCCACAGAAGAGTTCAGGGCTAAAAAACATGGGGTCAGGAGGTGGGAGCTGGGACGTGACCGGGGGCTCAGGTTCCTGACTGTGCGGATGTGAGCTGCTCTCCTGCACCAGCCCTGCCGCCCGCTGCCCGGGGACCACACCTGTGAGTCCAAGCAAACCTCTCCTCTGTTGTGAGTTTGAGTGTTTTGTCCCAGCAACGAGGAAAGTAACTGTGACCCTTATCATCACCAGAAACAATATGGGTTTAAAAGATCGAGACTATGGGTTCAATTTTAATTTTTAAACGTATACTTTCTTCGTATGTGAATCCCTTTCGATTCAGCATGGATGGAATGCTGATTTCAGTCCTGTGATGATCCTAGTTCCGGCTAAGGCTTGCACACAGGAATAAAAGAAAGACGACTAAAGAAGAGGAGCCCCCTCTTGCCGCGGTTTTGGTTTCCACAGATGCAGTTACCCGTGGTCCAAAAATATTGAGCAGTGAATTCCAAAATAAATAATTCACAGTTTTTGATCCACATCCCAGGCGGAATAGCTCGAGGGGGTCTTATCCTGTCCCCTCCATCCTCTCTGAATGTCAATCACTGCCCAGCCTCTTCACGCCATCCGAGGGGTCCACCCTCAGCAGCAGCCATTGTCACAGAGCCACAAAACCTGCCTTCAGGTGACCTTTGCAGCGAGCCTGGCCTGACCCTACAATGCCCAAATCACACACCACTTCACATCGTGATCCAAGCATTGCTTCATCTCAAGCCATCAAATGAGATGAATAAACAGTCAGGCAAGATACTCAGAGGGAGAAGTTATTAGCAGTTAGTTCATTTATTTAAGTATGTTAACTTTTGTTTTTATTAGCCCATGCGTACAGTACACCAACATTTTCTGTGCAGGGTTGGTGCATGTGTATACCACATCTTAACTCTTTTTCCATCTGCTTCTGCCCTTTCTTCCCTCTCTCTTTATCTTTTAACCCCTTTCATTCCTACAAAAAACCTATCTTCTTATTTCCCACTATGTATATTTTATTTACTTATACGGTGGGATTTTCATATAAATGTCATATGTGACATTTGAGCTTGTGTCTCTGATTGGTTTCACTCACATTAGGCCCCAAAGTGCATCCGTTGTCCTACCAAGTGACTCAGATTTACCCTACGGCAGGGTGGTAATCAGACTTTATCCCTGGTCTACATACAACAGAGAAAACACGGTGGCTGTAGGCTTCAGTACCATCAGAGCTTCAGGAAGCCACCAAAGTCTTAGAATGTTTTCACCAACAGTAAAGGACTGCTGTACTTAATTTGGGAAAATGATGTTTTTGCTTTGTTTTTGACACAAGGTATCATTACGCAGTTCAGGCTGGCTTTGAACTCACTATGCAACCTATCCTGGCTTCCAACTGGTTAATGATTCCCCTGCCTCAGCCTCCTGACTGCTGGGACTTCATGTGTGGGCCACCAGGCTTGGAAAAATGATGAGCTTTTAAGGACATAAAAGCACAGTTAAGAGAACAAGGATATCAACATGGCCGTGTTCTAACAGAGTGAAATAAACCAGAAGCCGAGTTAGTAGGGGATCAGAGGAGGAAAAGATGCCTGCGGATCAGAGTAGAAAGGGCACAGTGACTTCAACAGGACCTTGAAATATGGAGTCAGCTTCTTGGCTTTGTGTGTGGCTTTGTCTTTTGAGAAGAGGAAAACACTGACAATTTCCAGTGCTTTGAAGCGAACTGCTTACAAACAGAAGCACCAGGGCAGTGTGATGGGGTCAAATGTCCTGGAAGCTCTGAAATACCGAGTTTGAATCCTGATTTTGCTGCTTAAAAGCTAAATATGGACAGATTACTTCACTGATTTCTATTTGGATTTTTAAGTGGAACCAGTGGTGTCTATAGCGATAAAATTTATTAGGAGAATAAACCGGGTAATGTCATGCAATGGGGTTGGTTT